ATATATTTTTTTTTTTTAATTGAAAACAATATAAAAAACTTTTATACCGACATACATCTCATTTATTAAAAAATATGGTGTACGTGAAACATTTTTCTTAAAAAAAATATAGTGAATAAGCAGAGCCAGTAAATTCAGAACGGATACAGCTAAATTTAAATTGTTTAACGTCAACTTCAACAAGACTTGGCACCCCACCTATGCAAAAATACCCACCAAATTGTCTCATCTAATTTTTCTTTGCAGCATTCACACCTATATTAAACCCCCACGAATTCCACGTTTCATTCAAAGTCCTTATCAGCCCCCATCCCCCAATGTCCCTTCTCTCATTCCTAGCTACTTGCGCCCACCTCTCCCCTTAATTTCCCTATCACACACGTACCTCTAACTCTTACAATTATATCAACACCTTTTGTTTCTTAGTACTTTGTCACACACATGTCATATTATATATATACACGACCATGATGTACGTTGGAGAGCAAGCCTAGGAATATTAAAGTTGTAGCAAAAATCATGAATGTCAATAGCCCACAAGATTGGCCTGAGCCAATTGTTCGGGTTCAGTCCTTGTCCCAAACCTGCATAGATTCAATCCCCGAGAGGTATATCAAGCCCCCTAGTGACCGTCCATCTCCTCAACTTCATGCTGATGATGCCAATATCCCAGTTATTGACCTTTCGGGTCTTTATGGTGACCCTGATGCACGAGCCTCCACTCTCACCCAAATCTCTCAGGCTTGTAATGACTGGGGTTTCTTCCAAATAGTCAACCATGGTGTTAGCCACGACTTGATGGACATGGCTAGGGAAACTTGGCGCCAGTTTTTTCACTTGCCTTCGGAGCTCAAACAGCAATATGCAAACTCCCCAAAAACTTATGAGGGCTATGGTAGCAGGCTTGGAGTTGAGAAAGGTGCCATTCTTGATTGGAGTGATTACTATTTTCTTCATTACCTTCCCTTGCCATTGAAGAACTACAGCAAATGGCCCACTCACCCTCCCTCTTGCAGGTACAACATATTAATAATAAGAGGTTAATTAAGATTATGATTATAGATGACGATAACCATGCTTTTAAACATAATTATTATAAAATGTATTCATCAATGACGGTATAATAGTGTATGAACTATTTTCTTATATATAAACTAATCATGAATATTTTTATTATGTATCTTTGCTTCATATACGTGTGAGTTATTTTGTATTTATTGCGTTGAAATTTTCATATTAACCATTAATATAGCCGGAATCTAATATATAAGTGAAAAACAGTTTTATACAATTAGTTCTGTAAAACTGAATTAAACTTATAATATTACTTTCTTAATATGGTATATCAAAACTCACTAGGTTTGTTAGATCGTAATTAGTTCACCTATGAATTAGTAAGATGTATAAATAGGGAATAATCTTAAAATGAATGCAGGGAAGTGTGTGATGAGTATGGGAGAGAGGGGGTGAAGTTATGTGGGAGGTTGATGAAGGTTCTGTCCATAAACCTTGGATTGGAAGAGGATTTTCTTCAGAAATCATTTGGAGGAGAAGATATTGGAGCGTGCCTGAGGGTGAATTTTTACCCTAAGTGTCCACGGCCAGAGTTGACGTTGGGTTTGTCATCGCACTCAGATCCAGGTGGCATGACACTCTTACTTTCAGATGACCAAGTCCCTGGTCTTCAAGTCCGCAAAGGTGACAATTGGATCACCGTGAAGCCTCTTCCCCATGCCTTTATTGTCAATATTGGAGACCAAATTCAGGTCACTACTCTCTCTCTCTCTCTCTTCCTTTTAGAGAATGTTTCGCTAGCTACAGATTCATTTTTCATCATGCATGCATCTGCCACATGGAGGGGACATATCAAATTCAGCCTTTCATTCTTTTTTTTTTTCTTTCCTTTTGTTCTTCGTCGGATTTTTTTGATGCATGTGGATGTGGCCTTTTCAATATGTTTCTGTAAACATTTTTTTTTATTTTATATATAATTCTCTTCCGTGGTTTATTTTGGAGGTAAAGTTTGCTTAATTTTAATTGCTACTTCACGTCGGAATCAAACCTTATGCATTCTTTAATCGAAGAACCCAAACGTCAAACTAATACATTTTAGTTAGTCTTTTTTTTAAAAAAAATAAAATTGCACATATATGATCTCATTTTATTTATTTATACATTAATTTGGTAATAACCGAAATATATAATTAATTGCATTTTTTTAGTTTACACTTCTGACGTCAGATTAATTAGTTCAAGCCAAGGATTACGTGGTTTGTTGTTTGGTTAGTTTTCGTTAGTGTAGATTTTTTTAATGGAAATTAAATTATTAGCATAATTGTCTTGGGATACATTAATATGTCATTAACCGTAAATATATCTATATATATATATATACTAGTAATATGATGATATATGTATATTAATTTATTATATTAATAAATTTTTTTTTTTACGGGAATAGAATTATTTGTTAGAATGACTGTTAATATAAACTCGTAATAAATGTTTTATACTATAAAAAACGAATATCATTAAAAATATTTTCAATTATAAATTAGTGGTAAATTATTTTTTTAATGGTGATAGTTTGATTGAAACTTGAAAGAGATCTTTATCATTAAAAAAAATATATTTTTACTGTCGCAGAATCAGCTCGCACACGTAAATGGATATACATTTGGCTTGTTGGCCACATAATTAAGGATAAGATCGTTCTCTTATTGGCAATTTGGCATGACATTTCTGAACGAATGATTTCATACCTTGAGTTCAATATTATGCTTTTTACCTTCCTCTTTCTGAGTTATTGTGATTGTGAAGTTCTATATATCCTGTATAGTGGCCTCGTGACCAATCATACCCTCATCATATAGAAAGCTAAGATCAATGATCTACCAATTATATGTGATGTAACTAGTACATAATTGCATTTTTGACTATGATCAAAAGACCAAACATTGCACCTAGTAAAATATTATTTCTATGATGACCATATAAGATGAAATATCTAAATTATGTTGACTATACTAAAAAAGGTTCGAGCACACTCCAATAATTGAGACTTCAACTAAAAAGTACTGTTTAGATTCCTATAATCTATCCTTGTTTAGATTCTAATAAAAAAATTCAACAAAAAAAAGCAGTACATCGATTAAACTCTTATGAACTTTGTGAAAATAAAATAAATATGCAAAACACATAAATCAGTGCATCACGGTATTATTTCTATCATGACTAAAAAAATAACAGAATACTACTGCATGAATTAGTGATGGTTTTTAAAAATTTGGTTATCCACAGTGCGAATGACATTAATATATTGTCATCATCATTATCTTCATATTTTTATTAAGATAAATAAATATAAATTTAACTTAATCTTATAAATTTAAATTATAATGTAAGAATTATTTTTCCCTCATAATTTTTTTTTATCATCTTATTAATTCACCGTGGAATATTCAATGTTAGATCTTTTCTAACTTATCTGTTATCATTGTGAATGATACTAACTTAGGTTATTTTGTGTTTGGCAAGGTTGTAAGCAATGCAAACTACAAGAGTGTGGAGCACAGGGTGGTAGTGAATTCAAATAAAGAGAGAGTTTCCCTAGCCTTCTTCTACAATCCCAAAAGTAACATACCCATTGGGCCAGCAAAGGAGCTGGTAAAGCCAGACAAACCTCCACTCTACACGGCCATGACCTTCGATGAATACAGGCTCTTCATAAGATTGAGAGGACCATGTGGAAAATCTCACGTCGAATCTTTAAAATCTCCAAGATGATCGATTCATGTTCAGATAATTAATCGTCCACCAAACAATCTCTGTCGTTCATATTCAGATAATGTAAATCTTGTACCTAGTCTTGTACTTGTCAAAACAATTTGCCTATTATTAGTTAAGCCACAAAACGAGGGACCATGATTGGATATTTATATAGATATATGAAATTGATGTGAAAATAAACTATTTATGCTATATATCTTCTTCCAGATTGTAATGGCTAAATTTGGGTGGTCCACAAAGATCATTCCTAGTTGAATAATTATTAGAGATTTGTGTCCCCACATTCCCAACAGATGACGGTCGCATAATTTTAGGGGGCAATATATGTATTCTGTGTATCTACTGTGTATTATGATGCGATGCTAGACAAGCCTGCTTCAAATTCAATGCACTATATATTAATTATTGAACTCCACTACTTTTTTGTTAATTCTCATTGTCATTTTAGAAGAAAAAAAAGATATTTTATTCGCAGAGTATTCTTATTAGTATAGATTTTTGTAACGACTAAAATTCTATAATTTATCACTACGGGCTTAACAATTAAAGAAGTTCTACATCAGTTATATTCAACAGCTATATATGCAGCGCAGGTTCGATCCAACATATTTTAAGGCTTAAAACGGGTTTTGAAGTTTGATATTTTTAAAGATAAGAGAAAGTAGTAAGAAAATCAACAATCACCTGTAAAAAATGAACTTTCAGCAAAAAATTATAATACTAGGATTAAACCAAGTTTTTATAATGTTAGGTTTAGATAATGATTAACAAACTAAAGTTAGTATTCATACAAGCGATTTATTAAGTTCTATAAGTAAAAAAAATATATTTTGAGGGTCTAAATGCTAGAACTTGAGCAATCTTATGCTTGAATCAGCCTTGTATATATGTAAGCAGTAAGGAGAAGTGGATACAGTAACGTACCGTAAATCTCATTTTCTTATCTTATATATTAGACTATTTTGTAAGATTGACTTAAGTTAAAATTTCATTTTTTTGTAACCATCAATAAGATAAATCTAACATGCAATCAAAATTTTCATTATAGAACTTGAACGGTAAACAAACACAATACTTAATTATAAGCAAAGGTGACAAATAAATAGATTTAATATCTTTAATTTTAAATGGATGATAATAAACTAAAAATAATTTATTAATCTATTTAAATTTATTAAAAATTCACATAAAAATTTAATTCATCAAATTTATTTAAAGTAAAAAATTCATCCAAACCATTCATTAATAATTTTTTTTCTATGAATGGATATCTGATCCATTATTTAAATTTATTAAAAAAAAATTTAAAAATTTATCCATTCAATTTATTTAAAGTAAAAAAATTTATTCAATCTATCTATTAATATTTTTTTTCATATCCATCCATAAAAATAATATTTAAAAATTAAATAATTTTTATTTTAAAAATATTTTTTTTATTTTTTATAAATTATTAAATTATTATATAGTCTTTTAAAATTTACAAGATATTTTTTTTATATTATAATAATCTTTTAAATTTTCAATCTAATAAATGTTTCATATTTGATTCAACAAAATTTTGAAAAATTAGTGAATGAGAAATTAAATAGATAGATTTGATCTATTATTAATTTTCATTATAATAAATAAATTAAGTAAATTTATTTTTGAATTGATTGAATTGAAAATAAATAGATTGATTTATTTGTCTCCTTAAATTATGAGGGCAAGATTTGAACACCACTTTGATGGAGACGGTTGTGGAGATTTCAAACACCTGATGATCTGACGACCTTTGGTAGATCCACTAGTTACCATCTGGAATAAAACCATTGACTTAGCATTATGTGATGAAATAGTAAAAAGGAATATTGGATGGGTATATAAGAGAATGGTCACTTGAAATATATGGGTAGAGGGAGGGAGATGAATCATACAACTGAAAAGAAGTGTGATATAGTGAGAGGTATCTAGTATCTTGTCCATTGGATAAAACGGAAAAATTAAGGGAAAAAAAAAAAAAAGAAGCTTATATGGTAACTATATTGTAAATATTTTTTTTCCTTTACGCTGTGTTTGTCTATTATGAAAGAGAAAGAATGAAGATAATGAGGAGAAAAAAAAAATTAAGAAATAATTTTATTGGTTTGTTTAATAAGAAATGAGTTATAGCCAAAATTTATAGGTGTGAAATTTATGTCTATAAATTTTTTTGCAAAAATGAGTAAAACTTGGAGGAAAGATCAAAATTATTTTATTTTAACAATATTATCTTTCAAAACGTGGACTCCTTTATCAGAATGGGTACGTAATAACTTTTATTCGAATGGTTTGTCTTCTATTTAAATGACTTAGATTTATTCAAATATGTGGATCCTTTTATTCGGATGTCTTATACTTTATTTGAATGATTTGTTTGATATTTGAATATATACATGGATGCTTTATTTGAATTTGTATTTTTTTTATTTGAATATATTCATTTTATTCAAATTATTTGCTTTATTGGAATGTGATTGACTTGTTATTCAAACGGGTTCTTTTATTTTGAGATTTTATTCACGTAAATATATTGTTTATTGGAATAAATAACAATTTCACTAATGTAACAAAAAGGTAATATTATAATTTTTTTATTAATTATAATTTCTTTCCTCTTCATTCATTCAAATCAAACAATTTCATAATATTATTTCTCTTCTATTTTTTACTTAATTCTCTCAAACCAAATAACCTTATTTTCAAGTAGTTCTTAGTTTTACACCTTTTCTGGTACACCAGTACATCCTCAAACCACTTCAGTGATGCCTTCTAAATGCAAATCCTTGATGATCCACTACAGTAAGCAGACAATAAAAGTATATAGTTTATAATAATAAACATCTCTCAACTCCAAAAAGGCATCCATGAAATTAATTTTATCTTTTGAATATTATTTGGGTGGGAATGGGCGGTTGCAGATTCTCAAAGAATAGTATAATGACAGAAGGAGATTATCTGGATGATTGTCTTCAGTTAATTGGATTATATTTTACAACAATGGATTCATGAATCAGACTAGATTTCTCCAACTAGCTAGCCAGTAGCCAATGTTGAACCAGACTGTTCAACAACGTGGGATAATGCTCCTATCTTAGTATTCACAAAAGTTGTCCTTAATTAAATGCCTGCCTAATTAATAAATGTCACCTGTGACCTTTATCTCGCAACAAAACAATAGTAACTAGTATGTTGAATATTCTAGAGCCCCTTCATGCTCAATAAGTCAGCATTGTCAACTATTTATAAGGGTTTTCACCATAAAGAAACATTCAATCGCTACAATTTTTTAATCACGTGCTTCAAACTGTTCAACTAGCTACTGACACATTTTGTCTAATTTCAAAAGCCCACTCATGTTGTCTCGTAGTGAAAGTGAGTCACCCTAATCTGGAATTGTTCATTTGGGATTACGTACCATGATAGGGTCGTTTAATTGGTTTGAAACTTTTCTTTGCAAGAAAATTATTTAAAGAGGGAAAGTCATGCCACAAACTCTTGTACAAATTTCGTTATATGAAATATTTACAAATTTTTATTTATGATTATTTTTTGTTAAAAATCAAACCAATCAAAATAGTTTTATTAATGAAATAACATAAACAGAACCAAAATTATTAAATTAAGGCATTGATTTTTATCATATATGTCGTTGGCATGATTTGAAATCTTTGAATTTGGTGAACTCTAAATGGTAGTTTAACGTCTGCATCATGGCATGAAATTGCGGGACAAATCCATGGTAACATTTCTATCGTCTTTTCTAGAAAATGTATTAGAGTTAATCACATGTATATTATTAGACTAAAGTTTTTTATGTTAATAATTAATTAAATTTTTTAATTGTGTCATGTTATTATAAAAATATTTATTTTTAAAGTGACATGATATAACTAAAAGATATAATTAATTGTCATTGTAAAAAAAATTATAATAATAATATATAAATGATTAACTCAAAATATTATCACCTAATTCTTTAAAAAAAGAAAAAAAAAAGTATTATCACACTTTTGGATTCTATCAAGGTTTATTTACGAAAATTAAGATATGACAGCGATATGTTAATTAACTATATTTTGTATGTGATGTCGTGAAATATCTCTAATATAGGTGCTTGTAGGTGCCTAAGCAAAGTCTGAAAAGGTAATGGCACTGCCATATATGAACAACATATTTGCATAATTTTCGTCGCATTTAATTATATCAATCACGATCAAACGGAGAGAAAGAGGTCACAACACGAGTTTAAGTTTTATTATTTTTAATAATATTTTTTCTTAAATATAAGGTTCATTGAATAAATGGTTTGCTAACTGGTCGTTGTCTGAAATTTAGCCATTCAGTCGCATTAGAAAAGTCACATCATGTAAGTAATTGATAGGTAAAAGGTCATTTCATTACATACCCTACGGGAAACACAGCACATGCACCGATGGAGTGGCCAAATTTTAATGTAAAAGACAAGGCATTATTGATATATGGCTTATATTAGGGATGGTAACTACCGTATTGGACAAAATAAGTACATAAGGATTCAAACCAATTCAAATTACAATTATGTGTTAAGTTTCGGTTTGCTATTCTGTTAAAAATAAGACTCAAACAAGTTATGGATTTCAATCGATAGGATCGATCAAATGAAGAGGTTGGACTATATCTACAAAAATTTATATTCGAACTCTATTATTCTCATTATACCTTTAATATATATATATATATATATATAAAGTTGATTGGTAAAATATTCAGAACGTTAAACTTTGTATAGTTGATGGATTAATTAGAGATATTTTAAGAAATATATTATTAATTGAGACAAAAATAGTTAAAATTTATTTATATTTAAAAATATATGTCTTTTTTATAATAATAGAGAACCAAATAAATATAAAACAATAAAATAACAAAAACAGTAAATAAATTAAAACAAGGATTGGGTCTACAAAAGGGGCTAATTAATCTCCTACAATATAATGAATTAAGGTTCAAATTTTTGAGAGAAGAAATATCTACATTTTTTTTTATTTTATAAATATATTTATTTAATATCTGATGACTATAATGTAACGAATTGTGGTTCAAATCTTTGCTAAGAAAAATATTCACATTTTTTTAATTTCGTAAATATCTTCATTTAGTGTTTGATGGTGCTTTAAACAACATTATCTCACCAAAAGATGATACGATAGAAAAAATAATATATATATATATATATATGTATATATATATGCATTAATATTTAACTTAGAAATATTCTCATTTAACTTATCTAAAAGTTTAGGTATGTAAATTAATGTTAATTTATAAATGAGTTTAATTAATCTTATATTCATTTAAAAATTATAAAATTGATAAGTGATTTATAAATAATTATAAGACAATAAAATACTG